GGGCTAAAAAGGGGGTGTGGGGGTGGAGGACGAGCAAGGGGCACAAGTGGTATACTAATCAGCTCACTGAGGGTCAAGATGCTGAACTCTGAACTCTGCAGGCAAAGCAACATCTACAAACAGCTGTTGGAAGTTACACAAGGTCACATCACATAGAGGAGAGACACTGAAACATTCTTTTTGACAACAGTGACCACATCTATTTGACTTGAAAAGAAGCATAGCAAAACAAGGATGGTCGTTTACTCAGCACTGAGGAAGAAGCAATACAGACAGAAGCATGATGCCAGAGAGGCTTAGAGACACAAGAAGCTGGAACACTGCACAAAACTCCACCCAGCTAGCTTAGCAGTCAAATAGGCCCACGTATTTGTCCATCCTACACCATCCACAGATCCAAGCACACAAAAATGTTTGACCTACTAAATCATTACTAATGTTGATGTTTTTACACCTTCTTTGGCATAATTTAGATCATTTAAGAGGCAGGCTTCTGACCCTGCCAGTAAGGGCCTACATAAGCTGAAAGGGATACAACATCCCAGCAGTTGGACTAAAGTCTCATGCATGCAACAGCAAAACACCTAAATGATACACCACAGATGTCCGTTTTACTAGCTAGAACCCTTTTAAGACCTTATACTGTTTGTTGAGCATTCAAGATTTGAACCTGTGCCCACACAAGTGCTTGCAACCAACACCCACAACAACAATAACAAAAAGAATATTGCTTCCAGTCACCTTATGGAACAAAAAAAGAAAAAGAAAAAACCTAACCCAGGCAAGTGTAATTGAAAACATGCTTGTGCATTGTCCACAACCGACCAGTATCCCCAGATAGAGGACTCTCGTTAGTACAAGTACACTAGAATCTAAGTATACCACTCGCCAGTTTAGCTCGAATATAGCGGGGTACCCATTTCCACCAGGGAGAAGTGAGAAAAATTTGTGCAAAGTGCCTTTCCCATCCCAAGGACACAGCATTAAGCCCCTCCAGGGTTCAAACCCATGAACTTCCATATTGAGAGTCTGAGAGCCTAACCACTAGACCATCAACGCCACACAAACGTGCAGGGGACAGAGAAGAGAGGAGTGAGGGAGGAGCGTCTGCTCAAAGCTAGCTTTAGCTACAATCACACTCACACCCAGAGCATAGGGGACAAATGTCACGAACCTGTCTCAATACTGACACATGGATATGATTTAGGGGGGTTTAAATAATAGGCCTCTGCTAAGTGGTGATCAGACACCCTTGGGGTAGCAGATTCTATCTCAGTTATGGTATTGGGCAAGATTTTCATATCTGCAAAAAATATCATTCAGAGAAGAGCCTTATTGATAAACGGCTATTGATAAACGGCTGTAACAATTTCAAAATTTGTACCGAAGACATTCCTGCCCATCTGTGGTGATTTAACATATTTGAAATGAAAGAAAAAGACTTTTTTTTTTTAATTTAAAGAAAAGCTTGAAGTCTCATTGTTGTAGATTTAACATACTTGCTTTTCATTCAAAATATCTACATAAAGCAATCACATTAGGAGCAAAAACCTCTTTTTCCACTACGCCAACAACTTTGTCTAATCAACAGAGAGCTCACAGTTCTCCACAGACTATGGTCACAGACAGAGAGCTCACAGTTCTCCCCAGACTATGGTCACAGACAGAGAGCTCACAGTTCTCCCCAGACTATGGTCACAGACAGAGAGCTCACAGTTCTCCACAGACTATGTCTACATACAGAGAGCTCAAAGTGATAGGGACAGGGCCACATACAGTGTTCTATAGCTATAGCCAGGACTGCTCGCATGTGGAAAGAGCCAGACTGAGCCAGGAGGGGGAGGGGGAGGGGGAATACACATGGGGGAAGGGAAGGTGGACAACAGCAAACTCTAGAGAGTAAATGAGAAGGGAAAATGAGAAAGAAAGGAAAAGAGTTGAGCTGAAAGTTCATGTCAATATTTACTGACGATCACAATCGTTAAAATGAAGGGAAACGCGTGGGGGAAGACAGAGAGAATTGGGAACTTTTAAGACAAATACTAGTTTTTTTAAAAACAACAACCAAACAAAATAACAAGGAGAGGAGGTTTAGCATTGGGGTCAAATGTCATGACTCTGTCTCAATATTGACACATGGATGTGATTTAGGGGGGCAAAGAAACTTGAGGTGAAAAGGGGGGGGTATCAGAACAAACCGAATACCTATGAAATGCAAGATACAAGGATGCAAGCATGCGGATATGTTGCTACATGTACACCAAAACAAAACATGGAAAACTTCAAAAGCCTTAGAAAAAAAAATTAAAAAATACCCCAACCAAACGACCAGGTAGAAAGGTGTACAAGCCGAGCAGAAGTAGCAGAGGATACCAAATACCATACCTCGCTGGTACACTCTATCAGCTGCAGAGATGAGTACACAGGCAAATGTCACACATACATAGCATGGTACATGTTGTACATATACACACATACACAAATATACACACAATGTACATGTCACACATGGCAAACATAAACACACACATACACACACACACACACACACACACACACACACACACACACACACAAACACACATACACATTTTACATGTCACACATAGCACGGTACATGTTTTACACACACCTACACACAATTTACATGTCACACATAACAAGTACAGCACATTACTAAACTGCATTTGAAAAAATTCAAAATTTAAGGCTTAGTACATTTGACTAGCTGGATGACAGTATATAATTATGCTGAATTGACCACACAAGATTTACTGTATATACTTATATGTTATATCTGTAGATACGCAATACAATACAGCAGTTTAAATACAAGGATCACACACTGCACACACACAAGTACAAAGTACAAGGTGGGACCAAAGCAAAGTGGATACAGAACACCTTGGTTCACAATCTTGCAAACAAAAACAAACTAAAAAAAAATTAAACATTATCCTCAAAACCATGCACCTTTTTGTTCACACCACCATCTTCACTGATAAGCCATTTCTTAAACAAAGGTTGTTTCATAACAATCTTTGCTCCTACTTTTTGTAAGCAAGATATGTCAGTCCTCAAAGATAGATCTAGTACTAAACACGCTAGTAATACAGATCTAGGTGTCACTGCAGGCATTTCTGAGGATGTTTTTTTCCCCCTGCGATTCTCAAATAGAGGAGTAATTTGTCTTGCACAGTATGATTTTTGAGCAGTTTCCATAAAGGAGCAAGTTGTCCGGCAATAAATGGTCTTTGAGCAAAGTTTCCATACAAAGCATGGATAAATTTGATTTTAATTGATTGATAAGATTCAAGTACGGAAACATTTTAAACCCATCCCCCCACATATACACACATACAAACATATACACACAAACATCATATTGTAGAGTGAAGTCAATGTATCTGAAAGCCCTTATGAATGTCATGCAATATTAGAGTAACCACAATTCGCAGTATACATTGTGTGACTATTTTGTCTCCACTAGACAGGCATGCAGAATCGTAGAGAGAGATACAGAGAGATACACAGGGTACATCACAAACCTTCCTAAACTGGTGGCCACAGCACACAGTAATTAACCGAAATGCCGAATAAGAAAGTAAAAAAGAAAAATGAGAGTTATTCTGAAATCAAATACAGTTGATAAAAAGATCAAATGACTAGCATAGAATACTACACTCTGCAAAAGCTTGCAAAACACTTGGCAAGGCTCGTGAAAAGAGAAACATGAAAAAATAAAACAACCGTAAGTCCAACATAATAATATTGTTGGAAACTCAGAGTTCACCAAAGATGATCACAGTCTGTAACTTCATGGCAGCGGCAAATCAAAACAAGAGCAGAAGCTCAAAAAACAGTTCAGACAAATTGCTCTTTTGACAATTTAGTGGAAGAGACAAGAAGAGACAGCCACTGGGCCTGGCTAGGAGAGGAGAATTCACAAAGTACCACATCTCATTATGATTGGCTCTTTTTATTGCCATGGAAACATTGCTTTCTTCACTTCCATCTAGTTATTCAAATAGTACACAGAACCACTACAATATGACTCTCACAACAAAAGTAGGCCAAATATTCGGGATAACACAACAACAACACACAGTAACGCACATTATGTCATACATGAATAAAGAGCTTCATCTACAATTGACACACAGACTAACATATGACATTCTAGTCCACACCCATATATGACACACGAGATATGATATCCCACAGGATACACCCACAGAATATGACACACATACACATGACACACAACACACAGACATGACACACAAGACATGACAGACAGAACCAGCACAGAAAAATCTCCCCCTCACCTCCTTGGTCTTCTCCTGATGTTTGGCCTTCAGTTTGCCGATCTCTGTGTTCAGTTTCTGAATGTTCTCATCCCGCACCAAAACCTACATGCAAAATACAAAATAGTTCTCTTTACCACAAAGCAGAACTTGTTAATTCACAAAGAACAACACAAAAGCTGAAACCATCTACATCATGTCAACCCATCCCATCCAATGCCACACCACCCCAACATACCTCAACCCAAACCACCCCATCCTATGCCACTTACCCCATCCCACCTTTCTCCACATCAAGCCACCAGTCATAAACTACGGCCTAGTCTGTCCCTCTCATAACTTGCCTGCATCTCTCCCATCTTCCCCAAGCGCAAGCCTTCCCTCCCCCTCCCCCTTTATGCCTGATGCCCTCACTCCCCATATTCCTCCACCATTCATCTTACTAACCATCTCCTGTTGTCTAATCAAGACTCCCCATG